CCAGTCAGAACTGGCCACAGCTCAGACTTGAAGCGAAAAAGCCCCCCAGTGTTGCCCAAATCCAAAAGTTAATCGTGGTCACAGACTCTGAGGATCGGGGGTGCTGGATTGTTTTGTTCGAGTGTTCGGGGTGACTACTCTGTCTGTTTTGTGGATGCCTCTGCAGCAATTGCTGATCTCTGAATACAGTGTGTTTCCTGTTGAATGGAGCTTGTTAGGTACAAACGTGTTTACTGACAGTCCTTGCTGGCTGGCTTTGATTCTTCTGCATCAGTAACAAAGGAAATGCCTAAAAGGGAAAAACATCATGCAGCATTCAGTTCTTTTCTTCACAAGAATAACTAACTTCTGAAATGAATTTTAAAGCCAAGTCTGGCCTTTTGCATAATTGCTGTGAATACGGCTCAGAACAGAAGTTGTAGAAAATGCAGACTTTAAAACAATGAATTAATTTTTCAACTTTACTGCTGCTAAAATTTGTGCCTCCCACTACTCTATGTCTGTGGCATTTAGTGTTGTTGGTTTTTTTTAAACTTTTGGGTTTTTTTCTTAACCTTTGCATCGTGTCTGTCTCTATTCAAGTGATTCATGTGTACCGTTTCCTTTCCCTCTGGTCCCTTTGTGTTTGGTTTTTGCTGTCATCTTGATCAGTTTCTCTTCCTTTCTTTATGCTTAGATTAGTCCTCTCTTGTTCAGCCCCTTGTGCCTTTAACTACTCCTTCAGTCTTCTCTCCTTCCTTCCCTTGAGCAAAAATTATCTCTACTGCTGTAAATCAGATCTTTGCAGGGCTAAAACTTGTCTGTTTTCATAGGACAGTATCACCTTTTAAAAGAGTCGTTACATTCGCAGCACGTAAATAAATGCATTGCACGTACGCATCTGCATTCAAGGAACTTGATTGATCTTGTGAGTCCAGCACACAATATTGGGAAAAGCTAGCATTAAGCCTGCTCGTGCAGCCATGATTTGGGCCATTGCTTAAGTATGTTGCGGCAAGGTCTTGTACTACTGGACCACATACTCCCTTTCCTCACAGGCCTTAGGCAATTCGTAAAGGTGGATTTGCACGATCTGTTGTATTTCATTCTCTGCCAAGTGTTCAATCTCTGCGCTGACTATAAAAATTTAATTTTGTTAATGAGCTTTTCTTCCCAGCTCTGTATTCTGCAATTCCCTAAGAACATCCTTATCTCCTGCACTTAATAATCTCCTTCTGAACGGCCTGTTTGATGTGATACATGAATGCTGGGTGGAAGACAGAGATGGCTGTCAGTCCCACAGGAGAACAGTGCCATCCTAAACCACAGGGTCGCTTTGTTCTTCTGGCAGCCTTTATTCTTGCTGGCCTCTCCCAGTCCAACAACAGTTTCAGTCACTGCACAAACCCACTTCATTTTTGATAAGGCTCATCCACATATTTTCTTACACACTGCCCTGTCACTGGTCTTCCCAGTCTTGCAATGCTCCTGTTCCTTTCAGCTTCAGCCTGCCTCCTCCATGTTCACCACATGCCCAGGTCTCTCTCTTCTGCTGCCTTCTCTGTTTCTGGTCCCTGTGCCTCACCAGCTGCTCTCCCCGCTGGGCAACTGAGAGGTGGGTAGCAGACCAGTGAAGGATGGCTAAGCTTCAGGATGACCCAGCAGCTGCTCACCACCAGGTGCCGCTGGCAGCATCAGCTCCCACAGGGCCCTCCAGGACTTGCGTGCCCAAGCCTTTCACCCTTTTCCCACAGCCCTGTGGCTCCAGTTTGGCCAAATACTGCCCTAAGCCAGAGAAGGCTTGAGCCATTGAGGGCTCCAAGCAGCTGAAATACTCCTCCTTTTCTCATTGCTAGGTCATAGGGAAATGATCTTCTGAATTTTACCTTCTTAGTGGAAACCCTTTCGCTCCTATCATCGCAATGGACCCTGGTAGAATTACCCTAGCTTGGCTTACATGCTAGTTAATCTTTGAGAAGCAGTGAACGTAGAGAAAGGGTATCTGCAGCAGAGATTTCACTTCTATTTTGCTCAGACAAAACTGTCAATAACTTATTTTTTGAACCTAAATTCATCTAGGCAGTAATAAATCTTCCAAGACAAGGTTGAAAATAGTAAATTGAAATTGTTTCCATTCAAGAGAATCATCAAGCATACTACTGATGAGGTGGATTATCGGTGCATACTGCACTGATAATAGCCCCATCAAACAAAACTTCTCGCTTGCTTTTTAAGCAGCAAAGCAACCTTCACTACTTTGAGTTAGAAGAATAACAACGTATTATGTCCTCCTATATCCAGTCAGGATGTAGACCTGTATTGGATTATGCAGGCTGACCAGTTTCAGTAGAAAGGCCAAGGAGAGAGCGGTGCTGGGGTCTGTTTGGAGATCTGACTGGCTCACAGAGATGAGCCTGGTCTGCATGTGATTGTGAGGCCCAAAGTCACACTGAGCTTGTCTTATGCCTGCTGTATTTCTGTGTCCTTCTCCACCCAGTATCTAAGTGGCCTCTGTAGTCTGCCTTTCTTCACTGGATCCCATACTTTCTGTTAGCGTGAAATTCACACAGAAATGCAATGCTTTTTGTTTTGTTTTTGATTTCTGGAACATTCACTGTGCATCCCGATATTCTATGAGATGAAATACAAGTATATGCCACAAATGCCTGCAGCATCTTCCTGGGCTGTGCTGCACAACTGCAAGCCGTCACTATTAAAGCGGAAAAAGGTAATGCAGTTGGCATCTAGTTAGTACTGGTCACAGCAAAACTGCAAACATTCACAGGTGCTGTGCTTACTCCAGTGTTCCGGGTGGACGGATGTCCAGAAAGAATAAGAATCTGCAACATATTTGACAAGAAAGTGGAACATTGCAATGCAAAACTCTTGGTGCACTTCATTTTAATAAACGTATTTCAAGCAAAACTAATCCCTCTTCCTTCTGTTATGACGGCAGCCTTCCTTCCTTATTCCTCCAGAACACATATGCAGGGGCCTTTTGTCTTTTCCTGTCACTTATTTGTATTTCAAATATTCATATTGTCTGAGCTGTTTCAAAAGAAAGTGCCTACAAGTTAAAAAAAAAAAAAAAAAAACCAGAGAAAATGCCCCTCTTAAAATGGCAATTTGAAACAATTTAAAAGGTCAGAGTACAGGATTCGTGAGAACTTAGCACTCTGCAATAAAAAGAAGTGATGCGTTCCTAGACTAAAACAACCTCAGGTTTTTAGAGATGAAAGTATTCTCATTCAAAGACCCCCTAGCCACACTCTGTGGCAGATGGGTAAGTACCATTAATTTTTACTTTTATTCTTACAATTCCAGCAAGTGCTTTCACTCCTTTCAGCTAAAATAACGTCGTCAATGTTGTCATCGGGAATATTTTATCCTTAGGTTAGAAACTGACAAATGTATTAGTCTTAACACAGGAGAGAAACATTTCTGACAGATAAAGGGAAAAGTGAAAGAGCTTCTAAGTAAACATGCCAGGGAATTGTAACATGACACTACTTTGCTGATTAAATGCCCAATTTTTTAATAGGCTTATATCCTCAGCAATGCTCAATAGACATTTAATTTTTTTTTCCTAAAAACTCATGTTTCAGCTACTACTGATGTAAAACCTAGGCCTGGTATGATAAACTTATATGCTGCAGCTAACAAGCCTGATCTGTGACTCAAAGACTTTTTCTCTAGAATTGAAGCACGGGTTCCTATTACTGAAGCTGGTTGGACTTACAGTGATGGGCACACTCTTTAAAAAGCTCTGTCTTTCCGGGAGCTAGACTGCCACACGCAGGTGAAGGTCTAAGCTTGCAGTCCTCATCTGCTGGTCGACTGTGCATACAGCTACCTTTTTGGGTGAGTATAGGCAACGGCAAGAATATGTCCTTTCTGTATCCATTCAGGTAATGCTTAGGGAAAACAGAATTCAAGTTGCATCTTGGAATCATTATTTTCATTCGTTCATTCCTCAGTTTGTTTCGATTATTTTAAATTCTTTAAGGATGACTAGTAATTTCTCTCAGGTGAGAGATTTTTAAGCAGTTACAGGAATCCCAGCCTCGAGAGATCTTTTCTTTAGGAGCTTTAAGGATTCTAAATTGATTTTGAAGATATTATCTGTAACATTTGCTGTATGACTGGAGTGGCACAGTTCCAGAACAGTAAATAGCAACAGGAAGGCAATCAAACATGCGAATGAGAGTAGCGTAAAGAAATCAGAAAAGGCTTAGTCTATTTTCATATCTCACAGCATCTTACACTTCTCTTGTATTTCACAGTTTCTTAGTCCAGTCATCATTGTAATTTCATTTTCAAATGAATCCTGAAAAATTGATTTTAGGCATTGCTTACGTGAAATTGTGATTCAAAAATAGGTTATGACAGCACTGCAAGCCAAGTGAATTGTATGTCATTTGTCTAGAGAGCCAGTTTAGAGGGTGAGGTGATGCAAATAGGCTGGATGAGTCTTCTTAGTAAAATTAATTCAAAGAGTTTAAAATTGTGACGGAATAAGTGAGATACGGATCTTGCATCCTCTGTGGCTTCTGTAAAGTAATTAATACTTCTAATTACAAGTCCTAAAAGTTTACAGATGAATTTGTGGTGGCTTTCATGAATCGTTCCCATGCTGTAAATATCTTAATACGTATGCACATACAGAATTAATGTAATACTGAGTGCTGTGTTTTAAACACTGAGATGCTACTGTGACGTCCTAGTGAAGCCAAGAGGGGGGCAGAAGCTCCAGGTCTGACTTTTGAGGCCCATGCCTTGAGGACATTTGAATCTCAGATTTTATTCACCTTCTTATTTAAAAGGAAAATCAGGTGAGCTTGACAGTGAGGCCTGCAGCCTGCACACATTTGGCTATGTCAGAGTCTGAAGGCTTCCTTGGGGGAGAATGGGAGTGCTGGGAGCACCAGGCTCACAAGGCTTCTGCCAGGAAAAAGAAAAGCTTTAAAATTAGGCTTGAGCTCTACAGGAATCCCAACCCCAGAGGCTGCTCAAGACAAGGAGAAGGCTGAATGGATCCCTTTGTGAACCAGCATACTTTTTTTTTTCTTTTTTTTTTTAATCCTCTGCAACAACCTCCAGCCCTCCTCAGGAAAACTGGAACATCACCACACCCTCAGCTAGACAGATTTACCATCAGAAGGGCCTCTCTGTGGGGCTGGGCATGAATCCATCCCTGTGCTGCTACAGCAAGTCAGCCCAGACCCTTTCACTGTACCCGTGTGAAATACGCAGCCAAGTGACAAAGTCACGGCTTAGTTTTTCCGTCTGCAAGAGCGTTGGATTGCTCATTTTTTTTTGTCTTAAGGAAACATTAAAGAAAAGCAGAACTGTTTATTCTGGCATTCCACAGGTACAGTGAATAACCTTGAAATATTCTGGCCATTGGGCTTGAAACTTTGACTTGATTGTGATAAATACCAGCTTCACTTGCAATATGTATATTATCATATAAATGGCACGGCACGTTTCTTTCATGCAACAGCACTCACCTGGTCCAGTGTCCTTGTTTGCTTTGGCTTTGGAAAGGCTCAGACTTTTTAAAATATTCCAGGGCCCCCTGAAGCACTGTTACACATGATGAGCATTTAAAAGGTGCTGATACCAAGACCTTGCCTTTGCAATATGCTCTCGCCTTTTGTTTCTCATATCAGAGTGAAGCATTCAGGGAGCTTTCCCATCTTCTATGTGACGGACACAGCCAAGGTTTTATGCCACTGTGGAAGAACAGATCCACTAAAGACAAAGGCTCTATGAAAGATTTTCTTTTAGAGAAAAAGAAAGGAGCAGGTAGAATTTCATACCACCACAAAAAAAAAGCAAAAGCTATGCAGTAAGGTAAGGTGGGGGCAGGTAGATCCCCAGTGGCAGGAACATGCCAGAACTGTGCCTAAAACTGTGGCTTGAGGGCAGGGGAGGAGGACACCTGGCAGGATTACGTGGGTAGCTGAGGGTGGAGAAGAAAGCAGAGAATTCAGACCTCCCCCTTTCTGACATTTTAAGATGATTTCCACTGCCTGTGCATCTGCATTGACTATCTTACTGTACTTCTTGAACCTGTGTTTTTAAACCCTTTTGTGCTTGGCAGTGTCCAGCCCTCAGGGAGTGGCATTTGTTGACTCAGTCTTCCCAGGCTTCACAGACTTGATTCATGTCCCCTAGCTAAGGGGACATTACTGAAATGACTCTCCTGCCTTACGGAGGAATGTGGTTTTATTAATGGTGACAAGCAAAGCGGTGGAAGGCAGGTAAATAGGTTCAGGGACACAGGCCAGTAAGAGACAGCTGTCCAGATTTTCCTGGGATACATATGCATATGCAGGCCAGCTACACCAGTATGTGTGCATACAATGGGGGGAAATGCTACCATGAGCCGTAACAAAACTGGATGGTCTGTTTGTATGTAGCCCAGTTTTAAGATAGGTGAGGCAGATAATGCCTATATAATTTGACCCACCTTTTTGTCAGTTGGAAAAGATGTGTTTTATTTAGGCACAATGTTTTAATTTCTGGAGCCAGAATGTCTGTGTATTTTCTGTATGATTTTCCCTTTTTCACCCAGTGCTGGAAAACAAAGAGAAGAAATTAAAATGACACAATATTTTTAGTGTCACAGATTAAAATTCCTCCGCTTTTGTATTAAAAAAAAAACCCCCCCCCCCCCCCCCCCATGTAAATTCTAGTATACTCTGATTGCCAGAAAATAAAAACATTAAACCGTGGGAACTGTAAAGGCAAACTCACCCTATAGTTCTTCTCATAGGAACATAGAGATGGCTGCACTGCCCCAGACTAAAGTCCTTCTAAGCCAGGGTCCTGCCTTCAATCAGGTTTGCTAGAACAGTTACACTTCTACAATATTGTCTACAAAAATGTGAACTTTGGGCTCATACTTAAAAATACTAGTGCTCTTTCTAGCACAGCAGCTGAGCCCAGTGATAGCCTGTATATCAGTGGTCTTCACCTGTCTTTTTCCAGGCAGCCTTGCCATCCCTTTTTCATGTTTAACCTTCAGCTTCTACTTTGTTTCTACTGAATGCAAAACAGGTTTTCAAAAGACTGTGGGATCATGATCCCTATGCCTTAAGCCTATTGCTGTCACCAGAAGAAAGTGTAGGTTTAGTGTTGTGCTGACCTGCATTCTTTGGCTTCCGAACAAAGCACTTGCTTTTCTGTTCAGGGGCTGCTTGTGCAATGTTGGTGGCACTGCAGTGCTGGTTTTATGTGTGTGTGCTAGACATGGTAAACGTACTCCTTGGCTACTGTGGAAGAAACGATAAAAGAAATCAGAGGTTGGTTCAAATGTGATTCAGGAGAGAAATTACCGTAACTGTGAAGGAGTCCTGGAAAGCCTAAAAGCTTCAAAAATTGAGCAACAGAAAACTTATGGAGGTAGAAACATAGCTCCTACCCTGGTCAGAAAAGGCTAATTCTCTCCTCAGCTCAGCAAGAGGCAGTCTGACCTGGCTGCGGGACAAAGCTCTGTGTCTTAAGAGCTGGGGAGCTTTGCACATAGCTGCAAGCAAAGTTCAATCTAACACAATTGCTGGGTACAGATGCTGCAACACCGTTCACCTGGCTGAACTCAGAGCTACACAGCTGTAGTCAGAGACCTCACACTGTTAACGAGTAACAGACTGCAGTAAAGCAAGAAATTGTAAGAGTGCCTCAGATGGGCTGCTTGGCAAATGCTGATCTGCTGATCGAAGAAGTTCCCTTGGAATCGCTTCCATTTCGTTGTTGCAGTTTTAATGTTTGGGGGTTTTTTGTTTGTTTATTTAAAAAAATGGAAGTCGATTGAATAGCAGGCAAATCTATGCTAAAAATCAAGGCAAAAGACGACAAATTATTCTGACTGATCCAAAATTATCTTTAAATTAAATTACATCAGATATTTAAAAAGGCATGTGTACATTTTAAAACAGAATGCTTTCTGTGATTTCAAACGAAATTTAGAATTGTGTTCTGAGTTGGAATGAAAACTAGTATTAAACCAGCATGAGTTCTTAAACAATAAAAATTAAATTCTTGCAGGGCTTTAAATATAGCCATTTAGTTGAAGTAAGAAGATTTATATTCTACCTCGTACATCAAACTTGGCAATACAGAAACAAAACACTGCGTCCTTAGTGGTTATGGATTAGCACCGTCAGAAGCCACATAGAAAGTTCTGGTTTTATCACTCAAACTGGGCCTTGGCAGGAAAGGTTTTTTCTGTAAGACCAGCAGTATTCTCATGTAAAAGGACAAAAATCGTTTTAGAAGAGAAAAATGTTGCTTATAAACAATTTTTTCCTGGTTCTCACCAAAAGTTTGGCTCAATAATGAGTGACTTGTGCTAACTTTCTTTTCAGAACCCGTTGAATGAATCAGCTGGAGCGCAGAGAAGACTCTCAGGACTATTTAGGAATTTAAACCAACTGTTGAGAAGGCAGAAGCCTTCTAACATGTAACACTTACTTAAGCTTCTGAACAGGGCCATGGCCTGACATTTGCAATTAATTCCTTCAACACAGTTGGGATCCCCACATGAGATGCGTGGTAAAGTGCAGGGTTTCCACATGCGCAGTTAGAGGATTGTGTGGTCAACGTTGGCAAATTCTGCGGTGGGGAACTCTTGTGTTACTATGGGTGCGTTTGCACAGCCATACAGTTCTCTGGTGGCTTTCAGAATCCTAGTTTTTGCCAGCTTAATGTGTATTTATTTGGTCACTGCTGTTCATTACAAAGTTGCAGAGAATTTGAGGAACTGTAAACCTCCCAAATTAAATTACTCTTCTGTTACACAGCTGAAGTCCTGTGTTGTGGGAATGTTTTCAGTGACAAATGCTGGATTTCAAGCAGATAGGGCAAACAAAGGAGACAAGAATTAGAGGCCATAGTTGTCCTACACCTCCTAATGAACCATGCTGTCCTTTGAAAGTTCCTGCTTGCCCCGGGTTTATCATCTTTTCAAACGAGGGGAAAGCGTCAGTTCAACGCAACGCACAACAGAACTATAGCTGCTACTTGCTGCTGCTACTCTTCCTGGGCACCTTTACCTTGCCTGGTCGGTGACATGCTTGAAAAGGTCAACAAGAACAGGAGGTAGAATGCATATAATAGAACGCTCAGCAGCAAGTTCAGAATCCATAGCCTGTTTGCTGCTTGATTAGTCTTGAATGAATTAAATTCAAATGACCCTTGAGTTTTTGACATTGTAGGGTTTTTTTCTATTAGATTCGGTCCGCTTCTCTTTCCGGTGGTCACAGGTGGTATAGTCATCTTCAGCTGTCCCAAATAACTCTGTCCAAGACATCAGGGGATCACAAACCGTTGTGTTTAGCAGAAACGTGCTCAGAGTTACTGACTCCAGCAGCACCTTAAGAAATCACTACAGGATGAAGATGAAAAGATAACATTAGGCACCGAAGTTATAAGGCTACAGGCATTATTCCCTTGCCGTGTACATGTAGATAGCTCTACGAGGTATCATTGCCCACCATCACCTAAACTTCAGCTGAAGCTAATGGTGATCTAGTGAAAACTGTAGGGAAGGAAGGAACTGAGACATTCAGGAACAATGCAGCTGATGCATATACCATAGGTATACGGTAAAAATGATTGTAATGACACATTCCTAGGGAATTGATAGTGCAATCTCTTTATATAAAAGTCAGAGTGAGGAATAAACCATGAAATACTGAGAAACAGGTAAATGAGATTAACATTATGGTTTAATGAAATTGTTGGTAAAAAATTTTGAGCAAGTCCTGATACAAACATGTAAGGAAACATTGTCCTGGCAACGAGGATGCTCACTTTGTCCATAAGACACTGCCACAGATGTCAGCCAGTCCAGAGTGTGAGGAGATCATCCAACTCTGAGAAGAAAAAAAAAAAAATTTTCAAAAGAGATTAGAAACTGAGAATTTGTGCAGAAAACTGGTTGTATGCTTCAGGGGAAGAAGGTTCTTGCACCAAAAGTGAAATGACTGAAGAATAAAGTAATTGAGAGCTGATGATGTTTCAGTGAAAGAAATGTGTGGCTGCAGAAAACATGATACGAACTAGAGTAGGTACAGAAGAAGAGAAATTTTGCCCATCCTTTTCTCTTATACACGTATCACGTACGTACACAACACATGGATTTCCCTGTTCTTTGTGACTAAGACTCACGACACACGAGACCCTGGGCCTCCCACGTGAAATTTAGTAAAAATGGTGATGGTTTAGGAAACCTGAAGGAAACAGTTAAGTGGAATTTAAACCCGTAGTTCTTTATGCTCTAGTTCACCTCTGCTTTCCTGTTAGGGAAATGTTCAATGGACAAAATGCTGTGAATGCATAAATGGGCCTGGTTGTGGCTCTTGCCTTCCAGACTTCACACAAAACTGCTCAAGCCAGTTTTGGCTCTTTTTCAGACCTAAGCTGCTTCTGCCTTTCATAATTAATTCCAGCTTGGAAAATTTCTAGCAGAAGGACACCTGAGACGGTTAGTAGGGTAATATGATCTTAAAGATCAACATGTAGTCTGAAATTATTACAAAGTCAAAAATTGTTCAGATAGCTGCATATACTGAGGAAATGTAAGCATTCAGAAGTTTTCACGGATAGATTGCAGAATTGAAAGAAAACTCCTATCTTATACTAAATAAAGCAATAATGAAGTATGGAACATGGAAAAATTTGGGAGGCTCCTGAAATCCTTTGATATACTGGAATTCATATATAGGGCAAGGTAATATTTCAAGAACATCACATTTCCACCTGATCCTACCATTATGAATGGAACATATGACAATACAAACTATTAATCATTTTAGTCAATGTGGTCGAAAAGTCTGTTATCTATGCAGTTCTGCCAAGGATTTAGTGTGGAATATATATTCAGTGAGCAATACAGAATTTTACAGAATTCATACAAAATGATCTATATGAATCTACCAGCTCCTGTCTCAGATATAACAGAATTACCAGCATTTAAGTTTGTGATGTTCCCAGCCTGATTTTTTTTTTTATTCCTCTGAGTGGCTTGCACAGAGAAAGGTTCCTAATGTCATACCTATTTACATATAATTGAGAAAGTCAAAACAGTGGCATTTTTATCAGTTCCAAGTTGCTGCAGAAACTAATTCAAATGAGTACAAAATGCTTCTTTTTTTTTTTTCTGCATTTGCTTTAATGTTTCGTTCCAATACTTTAATGAGATGATGCCAGCTTACTACACATGGAATTCTGAAGTTCACAGGGCCAGGTAGAAAGAGGTCAACCATTCTTTACTACAGTGCAAGTGTATTGACCCAGATATCTCTGAAAAATGAATCAGAGACCTACTCACGCTTACCATCTATGCAAAAGAAAGTAATGTTTTACAACAAAGGAAAAACAATTTTGACCCTCTTGAAATCAGTGGGACTTCTTTCAACAGAAGAATTTTACCGCTCATTAATCACCAAGGGGTGGCAGGGCAGCAACATGAGGAAGAGCTGGATAGAAAGTTACAGAAAAGGGAGAACTACAAGTCACTGACAACCCACTTCTATAATGCCAGGACACGGCCAGAGATGTATTTACTTCTGTGAGGCCAATGATCCCAGTTAACACCTCTGAAAAAGGCAGAGATCTCCAGAACATGTGTGGTGACAATGATCTTCCCAGCCATACACTCTGCAGCCAGCATACTCCCACTGCTGTCACAGTTACCTTCTCAGTGCCATGAGCATCCTACTGTGAGCATACCCTGGTACCACCTCAGTGGGCAGAAAGCCAATTGCTGTGTTGGAGAGAATAGAGTATCTCCACAGATCAGTGGAAAGAGATGTTTTAGGAATGATTGCAAAGATAACATGTTCAAATGTCTCCTCCACTCTCTCTACCTGCCTGACTATGTGTAAGATTTCCCACAGATAAATGCCTGTAACGAAATCCCAGTGCTACTCAAGACAGAGAGAATCTTCCCAAATTCATCAAGGAGACATTTTCAGCTTTATTTCTACTGGCTGTCAGCAGAAAATAATTTCTGTCTGAGTTTCACAAGTTTAAAAATTACTTCTTACTAGAAACACAAATGAAAAAACGTGAGAGAAAGGTGAGTTCATGTTCTCTTTACAGTATAAAAAAATTCCCTGTGGTTATTTTTAGGCTAGTACTTTTAGTGAAAAAAATCATTTGGAAATACTCGTGGCTTAGACAAAAGTATACGTAAAATATGTATAAAAGAAGATTTAGCTGGAAAAGTAAGAAGTTGTTTGTATTTGCATCATTGCTATCTGAATGATAATGACAGATTAGTAGATTTAGTGCCTCCCTTGTGAATTTCCATCATAATGGAAAAGTGGAGAGTAGATTTGCTCAAGATGAAATGACACCTGGGAAGATGGATGAACTGTTACAAGCAAAAAGAGGTGTGAAATAAAGCCAAAGCCACCAGATTTGGAAAAATTCAGAACTAGGCACATGCTTGATTTTGTAGTTTATTGTGAGGAAAACTTATTTCTCTAAGCTGGGAAACTAATTTTGTGAAGTGAAATGACAACCTCAGCCCCTGCTCTCGCAGGTGTGGGCCAAAGCAGCCAGCTTCAGATCCTACCAACAGGCTTGATCACATGCTGTGACAGGCAGCAAAAGCCATGTGGAAAGGAAAAATCCTGGTTTACCCATATGCATTTTATACTGCTACTTCCATATAGACGTTAAAGAAAATAATGTTAATTATTAATATAATTAGCAAAGATAATCTCTTTTCAAAAATTTTATGCAAACCGGATATTGGTTTGGGTCACATCAGATAGTATTTCACTGTTAGTTGGTGCTGCTTATGTACACACATATATATCTGCTTAAGTACACTTTGGGGACATAGGGAGGAAGCAGGCAGGTTTTTTAAACAACAGGAGAGCTTTACAGCTCTTGTTTTATTCCAGTTGGTGCTGGGTTTGAAGAAGCTATTAACTAGCTGTCATATTAGAAACAGTCTCTTTTGATTTAGTGAGACAGGCCTAGATCATTAATTTATTAAAAAGTGTTGAGGCTCATGCTTGTCTCCAGCATTAATTAATTAAACTAAAGTCAATTGTTCATCCTTAGAAAGCTGGAGATGCACAAATGGGAATGGCAGGCAGTACATGGGTTGGATGCCTGATAAAATCATCACAGCAAGACCACTTTGACAGCCTACAGCTCTTTTAAAAACAGTGACCTCAATAAAGAAATGGAGCTTGCCTGTGGGCAGGTGATCACTCTGGATGCAGCAGTTAAGTCAAGAAGTAGATCTTGGGAGCAGGAGGCTTTAAGAGCAGCACAGCCACCTGCAGGACTGATATATGGAACACTTTACAGACAGGTTCATTTGTTTTTTCAAGTTCTTATACACACCACTTTTGATGACAGTGATAATATATAGAATACTATAGCCTAGGGATTGCAGGAGAAACATTCTCAAGTGGGGAAAGTTCACCTTTATCCCATATTGGTTTTTTCCTCTTTCTCTAAGAAGTGTTGGTTGACGTAAGCATCACCCTTGGACAACCTTAAGCAGACCTGGTATGTTTAAGCACTTGGACTAAAGAGAGTCTCACTCTTTCTTTCATGTACCTTAGCATGTAAGAAGAGCTATCCCGTTTTGTTCAGGTCTCTCAAAGCCCAGGAAGTCGCATTCTTACCATCTGCATCTGGCGAAGACCAGGATGCAGAACAGTAACTGGCTTAAAGTCATGCAGCAAACCACTGCAGATGTTAGAGAAAGGACAGTGCTCACCAGATGTCAGGCAACATCTCTGTCTGGCCAAGCACAGTGCCTCCAAGATCCACAAAAACCTGCTGGATTCTAGCCCAGGTGCAGCTGCCTTTAGGTCTGAAATGATGGAAAGTGATTTGAATGTTTCATGGACAGGATGCTTGGCATTATTAGAAGCAACATATCAGGGAAACTGGCTGTGGAGAGAATGGATTGGAGAATGAAATGAGTACATCTAACATAAAATGCTGCTTCTTTCTAATATAAATTAGAAAGAGCTTTGGCCAGCCTAGATCAAAATAATTTTGTGGCCCAGAGGTCCATGTTAATTAGTAGTGTGTGGAAAATCCTGGCACCAGTGGTCAGTGTTCAAAAAGGAGACAGAGGAGTCCTGTAAAATAAACTTTATTCAAATAAAGGGAGAGTCCACTGGGCATATCGTGTGGGGTCTCTCAAAGTTGCTGGGGTTGCAGCCCCCTTTTTATCCTAATTTCCCGGCCGCATAGGACCCCCTCCCGTTCCCCATTGGCTAAGGTACTAGGAAGGCACAGGCTTCCCGATCCGCCTACTACATATACTACATTTTTACCTCTTAACGTGTACCTCCCTTTGCATCATGCATCGTATGTTTCATTATCATGTCA